GCCTCCCAAAGTGCTGGGATTACAGGCTTGAGCCACCGCGCCCAGCCACTTACATAAATTCTTAAAAGGCCTACTACATGTACTACCGTATCCCCAGTTCCCAGAAGAGTGACAGCCATGTAGTATGCTCTCAATATTACTGAGTGAATGTAATGTTTCTAGCATATTCTTAATTACTAGCAGTTATTTGGAAACATAAGTATTATCTAATAAATATCTCATTTTAGTCAACCTTGCCTTCAATCTAATCTTTAAGATAGGTCTGATTTCAATCCAAGAGATTTTATTTCATAAATTACAAAGGCCAATACTATTTGGAGAGTAGGGTAGACAAGAAGAATGAAAGATAACCATGGAGCAGAAGACAGACAAGACTCACATTAGTATATAGCAATTAATTGGGCTCTGTCTCGCTCTGTCGTCCAGGCTGGAGTGCAGTGGCATGATCTCGGCTCACTGCAACCTCCACCTCCTGGGTTCAAGCGATTCTCCTCCCTGAGCCTCTGGAGTCCCAAGTTGCTGAGGCTACTGGCATGTGTCACCACACGTAGCTAATTTTTGTATTTTTAGTAGAGATGGGGTTTCGCCATGTTGACCAGGCTGGTCTCAAACTTCTGACCTAAGGTGATCCACTCACCTCGGCTTCCCAAAGTGCTGGGATTACAGGTGTGAGCCACCATGCCTGGCCAGCTGCAGACTTTTAAAGATGGTCTATAATTTATAGATCTGCACTCTTAGCAAATGTGAAAGCCACACAGTAACAGTACAGTTATCTCAAAAGAGAGCACCTGTGCATTTGAGAGTAAACCACACAAAGGATATTAAGGTGTCTGGATTTGAGGGACTTAATTTTCATCAACTAACACCAGCAATGTTTTTCTAGTCTAGTGTGTAGCTTTTAGTTCACAAGTTGAATATTTTTAAAGTGACCAAGGCCAATTCAGACTTACTATACATGTATTTTTATGTTTTTATTATGGAAAATTTCAAATTTATACATGAATAGAGAATAGTAGTATACATCACTCATACGCTCACTACAAATGTTTGAACTTATTAATTGTACCTTGAATACTCCTCAAAATAATCTTGCAGTATAAACTTTAGGGAAGTTTGTCTCAGAATATGTTTTCAAAGTATTGGTGACAAGAAATCAAATACTAGTATTCTCTAACTTAACATGGAGATGCTGAACACTCAGATGTAGCAAATGAAGGAATTTCCAGTGAGCCATTTAGGTATGCAGGTGATAAAAACTTAAGACTCTATTTTATCCTCAAGAAAAATCTTAATTCACTGCTTGAAATTCTACCAGTTTTTTTTTTTTTTTTGGGATGGAGCCTCCCTCCTGTCGCCAGGCTGGAGTGCAATGGCGCAACCTCAGCTCACTGCAACCTCCACCTTCCGGGTTCAAGTGATTCTCCTTCCTCAGCCTCCTGAGAAGCTGGGATTACAGGCATGCGCCACCATGCCCAGCTAATTTTTGTATTTTTAGTAGAGACAGGGTTTCTCCATGTTGGCCAGGCTGGTCTTGAACTCCTGCCCTCAGGTGATCCACCCGCCTCGGCCTCCCAAAGTGTTAGGATTACCGGCGTGAGCCACTGTGCCCAGCCAACTATACCAGTTTCTTAAACACATTTATTGATCACTTACCATGGACCAGACTAAGAACATATATTAAGAGGCTCTGTGTTTTTAATGTGCTAAGAACTGTGTTAAGAACATATATTAAAAGCCTCTGACTTCCAGGGTCATTAAAGCAAAAATCTTACATTAAAATTAAAAGCACTACTAGGAAAACTTAGGGATTAGTACCCTCATGTTTAGCCAAGGTTTGCCTGACTGGAAAAATGGGAGTTTGGGTTGAGGGAGGTAGAAACAAGAGACTTTTACAGTATGACTACTTTGAGGAAGAGTTTCTTGGATGGGGTGTTTTAGTGAGGGATACAAGGCAAAATAAGTCATAAATGTAATAGGTAAGAGTTGAGGACAGGACAGGCGCTGTGGCTCACATCTGTAATCCTAGCACTTTGGGAGGCCGAGCTGGGCGGATCACCTGAGGTCAGAAGTTCGAGACCAGCTTGGCAAACATGGTGAAACCATGTCTCTACTAAAAATACAAAAATGAGCCGGGCATGGTGCCCGCCTGTAATGTCAGCTACTTGGGAGGGTGAGGCAGGAGAATGGCTTGAACCCAGGAGGTGGCGGTTGCAGTGAGCCGAGATTGGACCACTGCACTCTAGCCTTGCAGCCTGGGTAACAAACTGAGACTCCATCTCAGAAAATTAAAAAGTAAAAACAAAATTAAAAAGTTACGTGGTCAGATGCTTCTGGCAGTTTTTAAAATTAAACATTTTCAAACGAAGAATATTAAGTTTACAATATAAAACACGAGCAGTGCCTTAACCCAAAACGCTGATGGCTGTCGTAGCTAAGAGGCAAGGGGGTTAGAGACTCCACCAACACCGTGAGGCTAGTTAGTTTTTTAGGGAGTATTCATCTACAGATACAATATTTCCTAAAACAAAGGTCATGCACTAATTGCTACGTCCTATTGAAAAGATACTTTTTGAGCCTCAGGAATAGAGAAAAGAAATTTCAAGGTTACTAACAGATTAACTGACAATCTATTAAGAAAACAAGTGCAACCACATTTCCAATATAGATAAGAAATAGTAACTTAAAAGCGGAAAAATTTTGGAGGTGAAAAAAACAACGACATCGTACTTCAGAGCAACTTCATTATCTAGAAAGCTGCAAAGAGAAACCTAAAATTGCATTTTTAATGCATGGAGCTCTCAAACTGCCAGTATTCCAAGAATATAAACAAAAAGCTATGTCATCCAAGAAAAACAAAAAGCTATGTCATCCAAGAAAAACAAAAAGCTATGTCAAGAACTCATTGAGCTTTTCTCTTTCCGAGAAATGCCAACAAAGGCAGGATCAACTCATCCGATAATACTTTGAAAAACAAAGAACGCAGTGGGGGAAGCCACACGACAAAGAAAATATCCACGCTCCGATAATTTAACGCTAACTCTAAAAATTCTCTGTAAATATGTTACGGCATTTATCAATTGTTGCTTCATAAAAACGGCCCGCTCGTTCAACACCATGTCAATCACAACAGTAGCAAGCGACTATAAAAATAATATTAAATCAATTTCCCCACAATTGATATATTCCTTCTGGGTGAGATTTTCAAATCCTTGGAGTGTCTGGTTAGGCTTTTTGGTCGGTGGGGGGCTACAGAAGGAAAGCCAGAGGTTAAAGAAAAATGCTTGGCTTTTTTCCAATGTCAACTGCAAGAATAAAGTTTACCGCACTGAAAATGAGTACAAGCAGCCTCAAGGGGGGGAAAAATCTTATCACCGAGAAGAAAATGAAAGGAAGAATTTCAATAGGAAATCAAAAGTAAAATTAAAGGAAGACGGCTGTAAAGATAAGAAGAGGTTAATTAAAAAGGGGGAGAAGCGGGAAAAGAGAAGGAAAGAAAGCATAGGACAAAAGGAAGGTTCGACAAATTCTAAAAAGAGATCTGAATGAAAAAGTCTTTTCTCCAGGTCTAAGACCACAGAGGGCCCGCGGCGAGAGCAAAGGTCAAGCAATGGTGTAGCTAAAGTGAAGGGATTAATTGAAAGGGTTGAGCCCGGTCTCCCTTCACCTTGTCCTCTCACAGATTGGGTCTTGGTTCTAAGCATTCAGGTGCATGCTAAGGAAACAAAAACCACGATATGGCGGTGTCCACGGAGAACAATAGGCTGGGAGCGGCGCAGGGCCGAGGCCTTCCCTCCGGGACGACCACCATCCCGCCTCCCTCATCGCTGCCCCAGACTCACAGAGTCTTGGGCATCTCGTCCTCCATGGCTGCTGCTGTCGCGGCGCCGCCTCCGGGTCCAACTCCCTGCCCTTCACTACCTCCCAAATCGTTTGAGCGGTTATGGCTACGGGATAGCGGGGTTTCTCGGCTGACCAGAGGTTACTCCGCCTCCTTCTCCCGCGGCAATTACACTAAACCGCCCGGCCCAGCGGGAACAATGAAGCCCCAATACAAGATGGCGGCTAGCCGGGCGCCTAGGAGCAGCCAGGGAAGTTACCCGGGCCGCGCAGCCGCAGAATAATCTTGCACTCTCAACCTCCCGGCAGCCAGGCTACACCTTAATCCATAGGTTCACTTGTTGCGCAGCCGCTCTTCCACCCGACGCTAGGGACGTCTCAGGCTGCGCAGGCGCAAGGGTTAACTACTTCAAGGCTTGCGTGAACTTTTTTGTCTTCTGGCTGCGGATTCTAGTGTTTCGACCGCGAGTTATAATGGAGTGGAAACCTTCAGGGACAGTAAAAAGCCTAAATCTTTCCAAAAGAGGAAAGATATATAAAGACTCTTCAAGCTATCTGGTTTTTATAAAGGCTCTTCAAGCTATTTGGTTTTTGGAGAGCGAAAAGCAAAAGTCGCTTGCGCCGCCCGGGAATCGAACCCGGGTCGCAAGAATGGGAATCTTGCATGATACCACTACACCAGCGGCGCTGTTGATGTAGTTTGCCGCCAGAGTGTTTTAGGAGGAAATAAAAGCAGACGTTGGCTTTCATGTGAAAAGAATTGTCATGTATTATTTATTAATTTAAGAGTAAAAGTTTATTGACAGCCTATAATCTTGTTTTCCAATAACATAAATAATTTATCTTCTCTCATCCCAAACACGGGAATGGATGTTTCAACTTTCTCTGTACAGAAAAAAAAATTTCAATTTAAAATGTTTACTTAAGAAATAAGAAAAAAGAAAAAAAGTTTTACTTTAAAAAGTAAAGATTTTATTAAGAATTTGCCTCGTTGGTGCTAGCCAAATTTTTGAGAGCGGGGACGATATTTCCAGATGCCAGATTTTTATTTGTATTTGCATTTCTTCCGTGTATTGAATGCACATTGAAAAGTATTTCAGAAATATCTGTTTAGGCCGGAGGCAGTGGCTCACGCCTGTTATCCCAGCACTTTGGGAGGCTGAGGCGGGAGGATCACCTGAAATCATGAGTTCGAGACCAGCCTGACCAACATGGAGAAAACCTGTGTCTACTAAAAATACAAAAATTAGCCTGGCATGGTGGTGGGCGCCCGTAATCCCAATTACTCAGGAGGCTGAGGCAGGAGAATCACTTGAATCCGGGAGGCAGAGATTGCAGTGAACCGAGATCTTGCCATTGCACTCCAGCCTGGGCAACAGAGCGAGGATCCTTCTCAAAAACAAAAAAAACAAAAAAACAAAAACAAAAACCACTATTTAATGCAAATTGGTCACAAGAATCTTAAAAGTGAACAAGTCAAAAGATACATAAACGAGTTGAAATGTTGGCGGTGGCTCAAGCCTGTAATCCCAGCACTTTGGGAGGCCGAGGTGGGCGGATCACGAGGTCAGGAGATCGAGACCATCCTGGCTAACACGGTGAAACCCCGTCTCTACTAAGAAATACAAAAAATAGCCGGGCGAGGTGGCGGGCACCTGTAGTCCCAGCTACTCGGGAGGCTGAGGCCGGAGAATGGCGTGAGCCCAGGAGGCGGAGCTTGCAGTGAGCTGAGATCCGGCCACTGCACTCCAGCCTGGGCGACAGAGCGAGACTCCGTCTCAAAAAAAAAAAAAAAACAAAAAACAAAAGATACATAAACTTCGGTCCAACTTTAGGAGGCAGAGAAATTAGAGCTCTGAAATGTGGTTCAGTATACTCAGTATGCATTTCATATTGCTTATTATATATATGTCACTAAAGTAATCCTATATCTAGGAATCTATCCTACAGAAATAAAAGAATTAAATTATAAAGATTTATGTGCCAAGATACAACTGCAGCATTATTTGTAATAGAAAAAAATGGAGTAACCTGAATATCCATCAATGCCACTTGTGGTAATTTATTCAATTTACACCGAATATGTGTGGAAATTTTTCTTTTTCTTTTCTTTTTCTTTTTCCTTTTTTTCTTTTTTCTTTTTGAGACAGTCTCGCTCTGTCTCCTAGACTGGAGTGCAGTGGCACAGTCTTGGCTCACTGCAACCTCTGTCTCCTGAGTTCAAGTGATTCTCCTGCTTCAGCCTCCCCAGTAGCTGGTATTACAGATGTGAGCCACCACCTAAATTAGCCTAGCTAATTTTTGTATTTTAGTAGAGACAGGGTCTCACCATGTTGGCCAGGCTGGTCTTGAACTCCTGAGCTCAGGTGATCCGCCTACCGCAGCCTCCCAAAGTGCTGAGATTACAGCCATGAGCTGCTGCCCCTGGCCAGAACATTCATTTTATGGACTATTTTGCAGCTATTGAAAAGCTGTTAATCAGATCTGTAGTGTTGAACTGGAAAATATCTATGATGTAAGTTTAAGTTGTAGAAATACTTTTTTAAACATAGGAGAATTTACACATCGAAAAATGTGATGTCGGCCGAGTGTGGCAGCTCATGCCTGTAATCCCAGTCTTTGGGAGGCCGAAGTGAGCAGATCACTTGAGTCAGGAGTTCAAGACCAGCCTGGCCAACATGGAGAAACCCCGTGTCTACTTTAAAATACAAAAATTAGCCAGGTGTGGTGGCACCTGTCTGTAATCCCAGCTACTCAGGAGGCTGAGGCAGGAGAACCACTTGAAGCCGGGAGTCAGAGGTTGCAGTGCGCCCCTGGGCAACAGAGCAAGACTCCTCAAAAACAAAACAAAACAAAACAAAACAAAACAAAACAAAACAAAACACCAAAAAAACCAAAAAACAAAAACGTGATGTCCTCTTTAAAGTAGTTTGTTCAGACTGGATACACTCTGGATTTTCATTTTTTGGAATTGTCTTTAGAGTCTCTGGCACATTCTTCAGATTATTTTCAAAGATATCAAGTACTAGTCTTTTGATGGTGAATAAAACAAATGTTAATGGTGGATGGTAATTTTAAAACACCTTTTTGGGACATCCATATAAAGCGTTTTTCAGTTTAATAGTTTTTAGTTTATTCACAGAGGTGTGTGTGCAAGAATCACCACAATCAATTTTATAACATTTTCTTCACCTCAAAAAGGAAACCCTTAGCAATTAGCAGTCACTCCCTGACCCTCATCCCATTCCATGTCCCAGCCACTAGTCTTTCTGCCTCTATAGATTTGCCTATTCTAGACATTTCATATGATTGGAGGCATGCAATATATGGTTTCTTGTGACTGACTTATTTCACTTAACATTATGCTTTTCAGGGTCATCCATATTGTAACATGTATCATTACTTCATTCCTTTTTATTCCCAAATGAAACTCCATTATATGGATATTGCACAAGTACTTATTTATTTATTTATTTGAGAAGAGTCTTTCTCTGTCTCCTAGGCTGGAGTGCAATGGCACAATCTTGGCTCACCGCAACCTCTGCCTCCTGGGTTCAAGCGATTCTCCTGCCTTAGCCTCCCCAGTAGCTGGGATTACAGGCGCCCACCACCACGCCCAGCTAATTTTTGTATTTTTAGTAGAGATGGGGTTTCACCATGTTGGCCAGGCTGGTCTCGAACTCCTGATCTCAGGTGATCTGCCCGCCTCAGCCTCCCTAAGTGCTAGGATTACAGGTGGAAGCCACTGCTCCCAGCCGTACTTTTTTTTTAAGTAGAGTAGTTTTTAAGTTACAAAAGTAAAACGTGTTTAGTGTTACAAATGAAATGGATACATAAGGAAAATATTAAAAATGTATCTTCTTCCCCTTCTTGAGGTAAATAATATTAATAGATTCATCTGTAATGTTCCACATTTTACTCTATACAGATGCACATGTATACACTTGGGATTTTTAGGGTTTTTTTGTTTTTTGTTTTTTGTTTTTTTTGAGACGGAGTCTCACTCTGTCGCCCAGGCTGGAGTGCAGTGGCCGGATCTCAGCTCACTGCAAGCTCTGCCTCCCGGGTTTACGCCATTCTCCTGCCTCAGCCGCCTGAGCAGCTGGGACTACAGGCGCCCACCACCTCGCCCGGCTAGTTTTTTGTATTTTTTTAGTAGAGACGGGGTTTCACCGTGTTCGCCAGGATGGCCTCGGTCTCCTGACTTCGTGATCCACCTGTCTCGGCCTCCCAAAGTGCTGGGATTATGGGTGTGAGCCTCTGTGCCGGGCTTCAGGGTCTCACTCTGTTGCCTAGGCTGGAGCGCAGTGGCAGTGATCTTGGCTCACTGCAGTCTCTGCCTCCTAGGCTCAGGTGTTTCTGCCACCTTAGCTTCCTAAGTAGCTGGGACTACAGGCGCGTGCCACCATGCCTGGCTAATTTTTTTTTTTTGAGATGGAGTTTCACTCTTGTTGCCCAGGCTGGAGTGCAATGGCTTGATCCCAGCTCACTGCAACCTCCACCTCCTGGGTTCAAGCAATTCTCCTGCCTCAGCCTCCTGAGTAGCTGGGATTACAGGCGCCCACCACCACGCCCGGCCAATTTTTGTATTTTTAGTAGAGATGAGGTTTCACCATATTGGCCAGGTTGGTCTTGAATTCCTGACCTCAGGTCATCTGCCCGCCTCGGCCTCCCAAAGTGCTGGGATTACAGACGTGAGCCACTGCGCCCAGTCCTGGCCTAATAGTTTTTTAATAGTTGCAAAATCGTCCATCAAATGAAAGTTCCACAATGTATTGGATGGTAAATTGAATAAATTACCATAGTGACATTGATGGATATTCAGGTTACTACTTTAAAAAACCTATTGTATTACAAATAATGTTGCAGCTGTATCCTGGTACATATATCTTTTTTTTTTTTTTTTTGGAGATTGGGGGGCAGAGTCTTGCTGTGTGCCCAGTCTGGAATGCAGTGCCGTGATCACTACTCACCTCAGCCTCTACCTTCCAGGCTCAGGTGATCCTCCTGCCTCAGCCTCCTGAGTAGCTAGGACTACAGGTGCACACCACCATGCCAGGCTAATTTTTTAAATATTTTTTCATATAGATGGGGTTTTGCCATTTTGCTCATGCTGGTCTTGAACCCTGGGCTCAAACCATCCGCCCACCCTGGCCTCCCAAAGTGCTGGGATTACAGATGTGAGCCACTGAGCCTAGCCTCTTTCTCGAATTTTAACTTTATTTTGTAGCCAACCTATTTTTCTCTCATCTATGTTGTTATTCATGTTCATGTACTAGTTATTCTTTTTTGTTTGTTTGGGTGAAGTATTGTAATTACAGAAATGAGATCATTTTATACCCATCATGCAATCACAAGCTTTTCTCAACTGATAATACTAGGACACTAGTTATAGACCCAAATTTTTTTTTTTTTTCTTTGAGGCAGAGTCTCACTCTGTCGCCCAGGTTGGAGTGCAGTGGCATAATCTTGGCTCACTGCAACCCCTGCCTCCTGGGTTCAAGCAATTTTCCTGCCTCAGCCTCCTGAGTAGCTGAGATTACAGGCGTGCACCACCATACCTGGCTAATTTTTATATTTTTATTAGAGACAGGGTTTCACCATGTTGGCAGGCCTGGTCTCGAACTCCTGACCTCAGATGATCTGCCTGCTCCAGCCTCCCAAAGTGCTGGTATTACAGGTGTGAGCCACTGCACCAAGCCTCAGCATTCTTTTTTCTTACTTTTTATTTTTTGAGACCAGCCCGTCAGGTTGGAGTGCAGTGGCACGATCTCAGCTCACTGCAACCTCAGCCTCCCAAGTTCAACTGATTCTCCTGCCTCAACCTCCCAAGTAGGTGGGATTACAGGCATGCACCACCATGCCCAGCTAATTTTTGTATTCTTAGTAGAGGCGGGTTTTTGCCTTGTTGGCCAGGCTGGTCTCAAACTCCTGACCTCAGATATTCTGCCCGCCTCTGTCTCCCAGAGTGCTGGGATTACAGGAGTGAGCCACGGTGCCTGGCTTCTTTTTAATGCATGCATAATGTTCTACTGTATGGTATGTAGGGGAGAAAAAAGAGTTTTCCTCTACGCTTCTGAGTTTTTGGTTGTGATAGACCCTGTAACAAAAGATAGATTAACAAGAAGAAAACAAACAGGACCAGGCATGATGGCTCATGCCTGTAATCCCAACACTTTGGGAGTCCAGAGTTCCAGACCAGCCTGGGCAATATGGCAAAAAACCATCTCTACAAAAAGTGTAAAAATTAGCTGGGCATAGTAGTGGATGCCTGTGGTCCCAGCTACTCTACTCTGGTGGCTGAGGTGGGTGGATCGCTTGATCCCAGGAGCAGGAGGTTGCAGTGAGCCGTGATTGTGCCATTGCACTTCAGCCTGGGTGACAGAGCGAAGCCATCTCAAAATAAATAAATGAAAGAAAGAAAAAAAAAGAAAAACAGAAATTTAAAAACATGTACGTCATGTATTCAAAAGAGAGACCAGGGAAATGAGCAAATCTCCAAGAGGTGGCTTTGAATTCAGGATTATACAGCATCTTCAAAAAAGAACAGCATATGTTTAGAGAAGTGTTAAGAGAGCCGGGTGCAGTGGCTCACACCTGTAATTCCAGCACTTTGGGAGGCCAAGGCGGGCGGATCACCTGAGGTTGCGAGTTCAAGACCAGCCTAACCAACATGGAGCAACCCCATCTATACTAAAAATACAAAATTAGCCGGGTGTGGTGGTGCGAGCTGTAATCCCAGCTACTCAGGAGGCTGAGGCAGGAGAATTGCTTGAACCCAGGAGGCGGAGGTTGCTGTGAGGTTGTGCCATTGCACTCCAGCCTGGGCAACAAGAGAGAAACTTCGTCTCAAAAAAACAACAAAAAAGAGAAGTGTTAAGAGAAGGAAAATGATTTTGAGTCTCTAGGGGTGGCAAATTATGGGAAGGCAAATAAGCAATAGAAAAAGGCTCATTAATGAAGTTTGTCATGTAGATTCCTGGCTGATAAAGGTTTGTCAAAAGACAAAATTACAACTAATTTAAAGAGCATAACTGGCTTTTATGCGATGATAGAATTGCGCAACACCTCATTCTATAAAACAGAATGAGTTGAGTGGAGGAGATTGACTTTCAGAAAGGGCTGAAGAAAGCAGAAACAGAAAAGTGAATTGGTTGTTTCGAGGTTACTTTCCTTGTAAAGTTTAAAGCAGAGGGTATGTCCTTATCATGCCACTTAAAACTGATCTGTTTGGGAATCTGGCTATTATTTTTCTTTCTCCTGATTTCTTAGAAAGTCAGATTGACAACTTAGTTTTGACCTTGTGATGTGGAACATGTGTGACATGAGTGCCTCCATTTTGGTTTAGTCTGTTGGGCCTAGTCTGGTGCAGGAGCTCAGTCCAAACCAATGGCTTCCTATAAATTTTATTTAACAGGCGTAAAATTGTCTTCAGTGATTAACCTTTGTCCTTCCAGGCTGTGCGGGAAGAGGGATACCTTTGCCTTTTAAAATTTGTGTCCTGCTTTTAGGCAAGTGGGGGAAGGCGGAGAACTTTCTACGTATCTACATCTTCTCAATTGTCTTCGTCTTGAAATAATCCTTAGGCTAAAGAGGCGTATTTTGGGGTGGCACATTCTGGTGTCTTTACAGGTACACTACTTTTATTCATGTCTGTTACTATTATTCCACCCCCTTCACCTTGGGCCACCCTATCTTCAGTCTCCCTCATTTTTCTTTTCAACTAGCACCATTTACCCATTCACTGCGTACCCGACAGTTCTCGCAACAGGGTGATCACTCAGTAAGTACTGTTGTCCCTTTGGTCTGTTTCTGGCAGCGATTAGCTGTGTGCATTCTTAGGAGCGACGGAGGGGATAGAAGAGGGCACTAGTGAAGAACCAAGGTGCTTCAGCCGAATAGGGAGGGAGGAGGAGAGCTGAGGCGAGCCTCAGCTTCTGCCTTCGACGTCTTCTGAAGGAGGGTGGGCTTCGAGGCGGAAGGGTGCTTAGGGCACTGAGTAGCCCAGAGCGGGGAGCTCCTGCAGGACTAAGGGGACCGGCGGGGCGAGGCGCCTGGGCGGGGTCGGGGCGGGGCTCGCAGGGGCTGGGCGGCCTGGGGGCGGGGCTGGGCGGAGCGCGCAGCCGCGCAGCTGTGGGAGGACTGCGGGGCTCTACAGGCTAGCTGCAGAGCTTGTGGAGGCCATGGGGCGCGCCGTCGCGGAGCTAGTCTCCTCGCTGCTGGGGCTGTGGCTGCTGCTGTGCAGCTGCGGATGCCCCGAGGGCGCCGAGCTGCGTGCCCCGCCAGATAAAATCGGTAGGCGAGAAGGTGGAGGCGCGGGAGGGAGCTGGAGCGCGCCCCGCGCCGGGCGGCCGCTGCGCAGTGCGCCCAGATCCCACAGCCGCGACGCAGGCCAGCGGTGCAGGCCGAGTCAGCCGCGCAGGTCGCGCTTTCCCCCATTCACATCTCAGGGCGGCTTTCAGCTCTGCTCGGAATAGGACTGTGCATTCCCAGGCGTGGAGAGGTGCCCACTTGAGGAATGGGAGAGGACGGGGACGGGCGGGCGGGCAGGCAGGCGCCTAGCGTACCTGTAGCTCCTGTCTCTTAGGCCTGGGGCTCCTTGGAGGCCTAGGTTCCTCTTTCTATCTTCCCTTTGAACACTGAGGGTGAAGAGACCAGTGTTCTGGCTCGACCTGGGGCGCTCGGCCAGATTGCAGGCTCAGGCAGACACAGCACAGGGAGGAGTGAAAACAAGCTGACCCTGTCTGCTCCCCTTGGGAGGCTGAACCCCCTTCCCCCAGCTCCGCTTTGCTGAGGTCGGCCTGCTCTCAGAGGCGCCTGGCTTGCACAATTTCTCTGCCTAGGACTAACACAACCACAGAAAGAATCTATATTCTCTTTCCAGTGTCAGGAGCCTTGGCTTTTTGCTTCCTGTCTCCCTCCCGCCCTGCTTTAAAGTCGTGTTCTTCGATATCATTAACCTCTCTACATTGAATTTAGACACAACAAAGCTAGGCATAAATGGCCGTCACTTTATTAAAAATGCGTGCTGGATGCGTGCTGGAAAGGTCGACCTCTAATGTGCCCGTGAGTTGGGCATCAAGAAGGGTGTGCAGGTCCCTTGATTCCTCCATAAAGACCTGTGAGAATCTTTGAGCATCTGGAAAAAAAATCGAATTAATGTCAATATGTTAATTAATCTACTGCTTTTGTCTGGGGGCAGTGTCTGTCCAGATTCAGGGAGTTAGACCTTCGCTGCAGGTGTCACTCTTCCCCACCGAATTGTTGGTAATAGCTTTGAGTAACAACCTCCGCTATTAGTGGTCTTTCAAAAACGAAAGAACTCACAGAGCTGGTAAAAGGGGAAAAAATAATCTTCTGTTTTTTTCCCTCATAGCGATTATTGGAGCCGGAATTGGTGGCACTTCAGCAGCCTATTACCTGCGGCAGAAATTTGGGAAAGATGTGAAGATAGACCTGTTTGAAAGAGAAGAGGTCGGGGGCCGTCTGGCTACCATGATGGTGCAGGGGCAAGAATATGAGGCAGGAGGTTCTGTCATCCATCCTTTAAATCTGCACATGAAGCGTTTTGTCAAAGACTTGGGTATGTAATTTTGGTCTTGGAGCTCACCAGATTACTGTGTGACATCCCCAGATATTTTTGTCAGATGGAGAACTGAAACTTCTGCCTTGTTAATTGCCTTAGAGAGACGTTGTTAAAACTGTTTTCCTCAATTTCTTGTTAGTTGGTACTGCCTTAGTTAGGAGCAGTTCTGCTGTAATGGGACACTAGTTATCTGTATCACTAGTTATCTGGAATTACAGCCATAGGGTGGGGGTGGGAATGGCTGCCATTGTCTTTTTTTTTCTTTTGAGACAGAGTTTCGCTCTTGTCGCCCAGGCTGGAGTGCAATGGTGCGATCTCGGCTCACTGCAACCTCTGCCTCCCGGGTTCAAGCGATTCTCCTGCCTCAGCCTCCCCAGTAGCTGGGATTACAGGTGCACGCCACCATGCCCGGCTAAGTTTTGTATTTTCAGTAGAGATGGGGTTTCACCATGTTGGCCCGGCTGGTCTTGAACTCCTGACCTCAGGTGATCTGCCTGCCTTGGCCTCCCAAAGTGCTGGGATTACAGGGGTGAGCCACCGTGCCCGGCTTCTGTTGTCTGTTCTTAAACTTCTTAAACTTGTGTTAAAGAATCAGAGAAGGTTTGGAGATAGTCACCTCATTGTGATCATTTTGCAGCTGGGTAAATGAGACCCAGAGTCTTGAAGTGTCTGGCTCAAAGTCACTCACATATGGCGATGGCCGGGGTCAGTGGCTCATGCCTGTAATCCCAGCACTTTGGGAGGCCGAGGCAGAGGATCACTTGTGCCCGGGAGTTAGAAACCAGTCTGGGCAACATAGTGAGACCCTGTCTTTACTAAAAATAAAAAAATTAGCCTGGTGTGATGGCACAAATCTGTAGTCCTAGCTACTTGGGAGGCAGAGGCAGGAGGATCCCGTGAGCCTGGGAGATAGAAGCTGCAGTGAGCCTTGATTGTGCCACTGTACTCCAGCCTGGGCAACAAAGTGAGACCCTGTCAAAACAAACCACCACAAACAAAACAAACTCACTCACACAGCTGTGGATGCAGACATGTGCGTAGAACTTGGGACATGCAACTGCTACCCTGACAGAGGAGCTGGATAGGTCATGGGGAAAGTCTGACAGGCCACTGCAGGCCCTTTCGGCAGAGAGTGTTTCGTAACTTTGGCTTCCCTCCAGTTATGTGAAATATCCAGTTTTGCAAAATAGGATTCTCACAGGAATGGAAGTGCCTCTTTCCCCTCAGCTGCCTTCCACATCCTCTGTAGATGCTGCCTCTGCTTCAGTTTCCTCCACGAGGGCAAAGGTATACCCAGAACAAATTATGCCATGAAGATACATGTCTGACATCTTTGTTTTTAAATTGAATTCAATTGCTACTCTGGCTTTTTTCCTTTGACTATCCAGTTTTTTAAGACTAAAAAATAGCCAGGTAAAAATATATCTACTTTTGATATATTAATATTTACATGATCATCTGACCCATCGCCTAGCACATCTGCTTTTGGACAGTGTAGTGAAAGTATAGTGTTTCACACTGTCCAAAGATAGAGCTCCTTTATGTGTCTCCGGAGAACTGAGGGAAGCCCCAAATTCACTCAGATTACGTTCTTTCATTTGGTCAGCATAGACACCACTGACTTAGCTGCGCTTTATGTTTTTGCAGGTCTCTCTACTGTTCAGGCCTCTGGTGGCCTACTGGGGATATATAATGGAGAGGCTCTGGTATTTGAGGAGAGCAACTGGTTCATAATTAACGTGATTAAATTAGTTTGGCGCTATGGATTTCAGTCCCTCCGTATGCACATGTGGGTAGAGGACGCGTTAGACAAGTTCATGAGGTAATTTTTTTCCTTCCATTTAACCTAAGATCTTTTAATTTAGGTTAAATTAAACTTGATGAACTTGAGGAATTATAATTTCTTGTAAGCATTTTCTACCTCACTGCAAGGCCTGTTTATAACATTGTTAGGCAAAATGTTTTGTAGAAACCATGCAGACTGTTTGCTTGGAAATTGAAAGGTTGGTTTATTTTTGCTTCCGAAGTGTATTTTGCAAATGCTTTTTTAGTGTTGCCAGATGCTGTTAGATGCCTTGAATTCTTATGATAACTTACTCAGGTAGGTACCGTTTTTAGCTTCTTTAAACAGATGCAGAAGGTGGTGGTGCAGAGAGGTTTTAAGAGGCAAGTTCACCCACATCGTAAGTGGTATAGCTGGAGTTGCCACCCAGGCAGTCTGGCTTTAGAGTCTTCACTCTTAATCTCTGTGCTATGCTGGTCATTGTGTATATGAATGAGATAATGTGTGTAAGAGCTTGTAGAAAGGATCAGAAAACTTAAATGGGCTTTAATAGTAACATGTTTTCAGTGAACCAACAGCCTGAAGTAGAGTAAAAGTTCCATATTCCAAGAATTTACATTCTAGCACTGTTCTGGGTAGTAAGAATTCAGGTGCTTCCTTTTCGTCCTTATGCTTTTCTATATTTAAACAATTTTTTTATGTGTGTGAATATGCATCGCTTTGGTAATCAGGAAGAGTAACATAAAATAGCCAGTCTAATTTTGAAGGGTACAATCTGTTTTTTTTAAAGCTGTTGGCATGTGCTAGTTTTTTTTTTTTTTTTGAGACAGAGTTTTGCTCTGTTGCCTGGGCTGGAGTGCAGTGGCGCCATCTTGGCTCACTGCAACCTCCGCCTCCCCGGTTCAAGTGATTCTTCTGCCTCAGACTCCACAGTAGCTGGGATTACAGGTGCCTGCCACTGCGCCTGGCTAATTTTTCGTATTTTTAGTAGAGATGGGGTTTCAATCTCCTGACCTCGTGATCAGCCTCAGCCTCCCGCCTCAGCCTCCTAGTGTTGGGATTACAGGTGTGAGCCACTGTGCCCGGCTGGCACATGCTAATTTTTATGCTGGTTTATAGTTTTAGGTACTGGAGGCCAGTATCGCGCCATTACACTCCAGCCTGGGTGACAGAGCAAGACTCCATCTTGAGGGGCAAAAAAAAAACAAAACCAAAAAAAACCCAAAAATGTGTCACATGACCAGGTATTGAACAGGACCAATATGAGTTAAGCAGAGCTGGGCACACTGGCTTATGCCTCTAATCCCAGAACTTTGGGAGGCTGAGGCTGGTGGATCACCTGAGGTCAGGAGTTTGAGACCAGCCTTACCAACACGGTGAAACCCTGTCTCTACAAAAAATATAAAAAATTAGCCAGTGTAGTGGTGCATGCCTGTAATCCCAGCTACTTGTGAACCTGAGGCAGGAGAATCGCTTGAACCCGGGAGGCAGAGGTTGCGGTTGCAGTGAGCTGAGATCATGCCATTGCGCTCTAGCTCGGGGGACAGAGCCAGACTCTGTCTCAAAAAAAAAAAAGAGTTAAGCAGGATATACTCTGGTTTCTCTAACTTATGGTAGTTTGGGTTTTCTTTCTCAACATCATTCTTAGGACAGTTCCTTAATTGCCTTTCCCGTGGGTACCTTAAGTCCAGCTACAGTGCGTATGGTTTTTAAATAGCCATTCATTCATTCACCCAATATTGAGTGCCTGTTAGGTGCCAGGCATTGTTCTATGTTGAGAATATAGGACCTACAACATGTCCTTGTCCTCAAGAATATATATTCTAGTGGAGAGACAGGCAAGATACAACTAAGGAAATATATAGAATTTGCGTAGAGACAGCCAGTCACTTTATAGAAGGTGGGTGACATGGTACTGCATACTCAGCAGGCAGATCAAGTTCCGATGGCATCAGCCCTGCTTGTGTGTATCGTTTTTCTTTTCTTTCTTTTTTTTTTTTTTGAGATGGAGTCTCGCTTTGTTGCACAGACTGGAGTGCAGTGGCGGGATCTCAGCTCACTGCAACCTCCGCCTCCCGGGTTCAAGCAATTCTCCTGCCTCAGCCTCCTGAGTAGCTGGGATTACAGGCGCATACCACTATGCCTGGCTAATTTTTTGTATTTTTAATAGAGACAGGGTTTCACGGTATTAGCCAGGCTGGTCTTGAACTCCTGACCTCATGATCCACCTGTCTCGGCTTCCCAAAGTACTGGGATTGCAGGCGTGAGCCACCACGCTTGGCCCTCTTTTTTTTTTCTTTTTGACACAGGTTTCACTCTGTCACCCAGGCTGGAGTGCAGTGGTGTGATCATGGTCCACTGCAGCCTGGACCTCCTGGGCTCAGGTGATCCTTCTGCCTTAGCCTCCGTGTAGCTGGGACTACAGGCACGTGCCAACAAATCTGGCTAATTTTTTGTATTTTTTTTGTAGAGAGGAGGTTTGGCCATGTTACCCAGGCTGATCTTGAATTCCTGGGCTCGAATGTTCCACTCATCTGGGCTTCCCAAAGTGTTGGGATTACGGGCGTGAGCTCCTGCTCCCAGCCTCGTTTTTCTTATCTGTGGCTTGCTTGACATGTACAGAATTGCCCTTTGAGAAATTAAGGAATTACTTTTTTTTTTTTTTTTTTGAGACGAGTTTCACTCTGCTGCCCAGGCTAGAGTACAGTGGCGCAATCTCGGTTCACTGCAACCTCTGCCTCCTGGGTCCAAGTGATTCTCCTGCCTCAGCCTCCTGAGTAGCTGGGATTACAGGCATGTGCTACCATACCCAGATAATTTTTGTATTTTTAGTAGAGACGGGGTTTTACCATGTTGGCCAGGCTGGTCTTGAACTCCTGGCCTCAATTGATCCGCCTGTCTTGGTCTCCTAAAGTGCTGGGATTATAGGCGTGAGCCACCGCACCTGGCCTAAGAAATCACTTTTGAAGTGAATTCAAAGTATTACAGAACTGGGAAAAAGAACCAGTGAGGGGATACATAGGTTATACTGTTTTTGACTTTAAAAAACAATTTACGGGCAGGGCACGGTGGCTCACGCCTGTAATCCCAGCACTTTGGGAGGCCAAGGCAGGTAGATCACAAGGTCAGGAGTTTGAGACCAGCTTGGCCAACATGGTGAAACCCCGTCTCTACTGAAAATACAAAAATTAGCAGGGCGTGGAGGTGCGCGCCTGTAATCCCAGCTACTTGGGAGGCTGAGGCAGGAGAATCACTTGAACCCCGGAGGCAGAGTTTGCAGTGAGCTGAGATCACGTCATTGCACTCCAGCCTGGGTGACAGGGCGAGACTCGTTTCAAAAAAAAAAAAAAAAATTTACAAATTTCATGGAATTACCCCCATTTTAAATGTTTGATTATATGGCACTGACTTTTATGTTGCTAATATTGCATTATACGTTTCTGTTTATTTCAATAAATCACGATTATGTAATCTTGTTTGATAATTTTATCAAATCCTATGAGATAGTTGGAGAGGTTGTTGCTATTCAGCCAATATGTACCAGTTGTTAAAAGTAGTGAAATATGGGCAAGTGCTGTGGCTCATGCCTGTAATCCCAGCACTTTTGGAGGCTGAAGTGGGAGGATCACTTGAGGCCAGGAGTTGGATACCAGCCTGGACAACATGGCCAAACCTTGTCTCTACAAAAAATAAAAAAAAATTAGTCAAGTGTGGTGGCATGTGCCTGTGGTCCCAGCTAGCTGGGAGGCTATGGTGGGAGGATCACTTGAGACTGGGAGGTTGAGGCCGCCGTGAGCTATGATCATGCCACTGCACCCTAACCTGGATGACAGAGTGAGACTCCGTCTGAAA